CCCCAAAACCCCAAAACCCCAAAACCCCAAAACCCCTTTGCAATTATATAAAATTGAAAATTTCATTATGCCCAAAATAGAAGAAATTGAGAAACGTTTAGAAAAGAGATGTCAGAGCGTTGGTAAAGGGACTAGGCCAAGAAGATTCTTACTAGGGCTTTCTCATAATGAACGAGACGGCCTTGGAAGGTTACTAATCAATGGAATAGTGAGTTTTGGCATTTCTACATACATCTTGAATTCTTCAAGCTGACCATATGTCTTATAGCCCAAAGAAAGGAAACTTGCTAAGCCTCCAAGGCCAAAGCTAGACAAAATTTCAAATAAATGTATTTTCCCTATATCTAATCTCCAGATTTTGTTCAAGGAGATTCTGTGAAATATAGCATTGACATGCAAAAGTATGTGAAACCATTTAACAGAATCAGCAAGTCAATTGTAACCTTCTGCCATCATTTTAGGGAAGATATAAAACAGATTGAACCCCATGAAGCAGAGATCTGAGTGAGGTAGGCTCATTCTCAGATTTCTCAATAAAAGACATTAAATTCCGAGGATTTTCTTATAACAGAAGGACCCCAACCGCTAATCAGAGGGATGAAATGAGGCTTAGCAAATAAACTGTATATTTTTCACGATTTCTAGAGACTACAAAATCCCTTTAGTGAGCAAAGACGTTCGAGTGAAGCAGTATGGCTATCGAATCATTTATAGGTTTGAGACACTTGAGGACAAATATACTAAAAGCAGGTCGGTCGATTAATATTTAGGCCACTCATTGACCAAATTGTACAAGTCTAAAGCGCCAGCTTTAGACTTTGCCAAGATGAGTAATTATACTCCTAAGTAATGATAATGACGATCTGCCAACCCCGATTGCATTGAACCCTAATAAGGTTTATTCCACATTTGACTTACCTCCAAAGGGTATTGATTTCTCAAAGGTCACGGGGAGGTACCCGAAAAGGTAGGTTCTAGGTAAACTTTTAGCATTAAAATACTCAAGAAGAAGCAACAGAAAGAAGAAGCTGAAAACCAATGTAAGGTTGGCAAAGTTCCCTCTAACTGTTCTCAATAGTGACCGAAAACCAGGATGAAGTTGAAATTAAGAACCTGTTTAGCAGCTTTACTATGAATTCTTGGCAGCCGAAGCCAGAGGAGGTAATGTCTAAGAAGATGGAGAGCAATTTGAGGAATTATCAAGAAGAACTTTCTAAAATTAAAATCCTTAATAAATAAGACACTTAAGCTGGGAAAGTCTATTAAGTACCACAAGAAGAAGATCAGAGAGATAGGGGTTAACGTGAAGAGAGTCAGGTAAGCAAGCACTTCCAGTCGAGGCCTGACCTGTGTTGGAATTCCAAGTTGGACATCTTAGAATCTTGAGGCTATGGTGTTTTTATTGTAGTTTTGACTTTTTTGAGGAAATTTATGTGTTTTAGACTTAGGCCGAATAGGAAAGTCAGTAAAGCATCTGTTATTGATAAAAGAAATAATAAAATCAATAAGAATCAGAGTAGAATAAATCATATTCCATCTGAAAATTGGAGTGAAGAAGCATATAGTATAGCCCATCTTCAGCTTCGAGCCATCTAATTTCTTAACAAACGACCAATAAGATTCTTGCTTAAAAGAGCTCAACTCTCATCGTTCCTTCATAAATCTTCAAAGCCAAAGGGCTAAATTGCTCAGTTCAGCTTTATATCAGAAAAGAAGGATTCCTGAGGCTTTGGGCTGAGGCGAGCAAGGGTAAAGACACTCTTGGGTTCATAGTTTAGTGCTTCATGTATAGGAAGAATGGGTCCGTGACTATCAACAGCTATTTGTACAGCCCAGTCCCTTTTTTGTGATGAGAGATGGAATAGTAAGTATTCCTTTGACATTTATGTTACTATTTAACATTCAGGTCTGGTATTAACCAACTGGGGTTTTGGGGTTTTGGGGTTTTGGGGTTTTGGGG